CAGCGGCTTTACCAGCTGTGTTGCGATGCTGGCAGCCTATTCAATTATTATTGAATCATAAATGTGTGTTTTTCATATTTGGATTATAGTGCAACCCTACTTTACTTTTTGTCATTGTTGCTCAAATGATACCCTTGGTCCTAACATTTTATTATGAGAGATTACAGAGAAAAAAAAATTTACAAATAAAATATGTATTTTTTAAATGTTCAGGCTATCACAGTGACTGCCTAGAGCCCTCCCACTTGGGTTTGTCGTTAATATTTATCTTTGCTCAGAGGCCAGCATCATGACACAACGGGTTACAGTGCTGCCTGCAGTGCTGACACCCCTGTGGGCACCTGTTCCAGTCCTGGCTGCTCCGCTCCCTGCCTGGCTCCCGGTTAATACACCTGGGAAGCAGAAGATGACCCAAGTGCTTGGCCCCGGCACCCATGTGGGATCCTGGCTTTGACCTGGCCCAGTCCCGGGCATTGCAGTCGTTTGGGGAGTGAGCCCGTGGATGGAGGACTCTGTTTCTCTTTGTGTCACTTGGTGTTTCAAACAAATACATATGACTTTAAAAAATGTTTTCCTTCGTCAGCTGCACTTCTGTGCTGCCATCCACATCCACTTCTCTATTCATTTCATGGGCCCGGCAGACACCACCGCATTCTTGCCAGTGCTCAAGGCTGCACATCATTGGCATTTCAGCAAGATGTGCTCACAGTGGAACGCAGGGGCACAGGCAGGCGGCGGGCGCAGCCTGGTCATCTCCAGGACACAAAGCAACGCCCACCTTCCAGAAATTTCCTGCAGCCCACCCGCTGCTGGGGGAAGCTGGTATTCCTGCCACCGGCTCTGGGGCTGCCTGCCAGGGACAGCAGCTCCGTGGCAGCCAGTGCCCAGCACCCGCTCTTGAGGCTGGCTGCCTTGGCATTGCCACAGCCGTGACCCAGGTGCGTGGCACCCCTGACTTCTGAGTTCTGCAGCTCCTTGCTACTGGCCTGCATGGGTGCACCTGGTTTCTGACTCCTTCCCTGATGGGCGACAAGCTAGTTGCTTCCCGCCTGAGGCTGCAGGACTAACCCTCACAGAGGAGCTGCTGCTTCTCCAGGAAGCACTGTGGGGAGGCCCACGGGTCACTGTCGGAGAGGGTGTAGGCTTACACTCGCAAGAAACTCCCAGAGCCTCTTCTGCAGCATCCGCCCTGGAGACACACTCAGGGTGTTCTGATATTACACCCGCTCCATCTTCGTAGGCTAGACAAGCTAACTGCAGTGCTGGCAGGTCACTGTGCATGCCTGACCCCAGCTGCGTTCAACAGACACAGAAGTGACAGGAGAGAGGCACAGGCTGAAGGCATGGGAGAGGTGCAGAACAGGTGTAAGTACAGTCATAGATGTAGGTCGAGGTGTAGTCACAGCTGTAGGTGCAGGTCGAGGTGTAGTCACAGCCGTGGGTGCAGGTTGAGGTGTAGCTACGACATAGGTGCAGGTGTAGTCACAGCCGTAGGTGCAGGTGTAGTCACAGCCGTAGGTGCAGTCAAGGTGTAGTCATGCAGGTAGATACAGACATTGATACAGCCGCAGATACAGGCTTACATGAAGCTAGACGTGGATGATCTGCAGGTGTGGGTGTAGGCTACAGAACACGGTGATGTAGATGCCGATGCAGACGCTGACTTGGAGTTCTCAGATGAAACCTTACGCCAACTGGCCCGGAGAGTCACAGACTTGGAGAAGCCCCATGACACACCTGGTGCCGGTGAAGGACCCTGAACGCAGTGCCAGGCCTTGCAGGTCCAGGGGCTTCGGCCCAGGAGCTGCAGAGTCGCAGGCAGGAAGGCACAGCTCGCTGCTTTGCCCTCTGCTGTCCAGGCCCTCGGCGTGACGGGTGCTGCCCCACCCCAGGGCCCACAGTCTGCTCACTAAAGCCAGCGCTTCCAGACAGCCCTCACGTACACACACCCAACGCGCTGCTTCTGTGTGGATGCCACGGGGTCAGTGACACAGGAATCAGCAGCCCCGTGGCCGGCTGCTCCTCAGTGTGCATTCCCTCGTTCGTGCGAGGGCTGTGCCTTCTCCCTGCCACCTGAGCCCATCCTCTCATGTCCCAGCATGCAGGGGTGTCCTTTCGGTATTCACAGATGCCTGGGACCAGTCAACACAGGGCCTGGCACCTAGAAGGCACTCCAGCGGGCGGAGAGGTGGACTGGTAGCTGACGGACAGGTAGACAGATGTGGGGAGAGACTGTCAGGCTGGCCAGAGCGTTTCCTTGTGTACCTGAGTGTCCATTCAGCTACTTTCCTCTCCCCCTAGGAGGGAGATGGGCCATGATTAAAGAAAGTCTTTGTCAAGAGCAGTGGCCTGAGCTGGTGTTCTGGCTGTGAACACGCTCCACGGGCACGCTCTCGGCCTGCACAGGGATCCATGGAAGTCGCTGCGGTCACTGCTCGGATGGGGACATGGCAGCAGGCAGGCAGGCAGCAGAGCGGGGCTCCAGGGCTGGCAGTGTGGCCACAGGGCTGAGCGCCTGATGCAGCACCGCCATGCTCACCGCCTGATGCTCCTGTGGCCATGGCCTCACCCCTGTGGGCAGACCAGCCTCACCTCCTCGTGGCCATGGCCTCACCCCGTGGGCAGACCAGCCTCACCTCCTCGTGGTCATGGCCTTGCACCTGCGGGCGGACCAGCCTCACCTCCTCGTGGTCATGGCCTCGCCTCCACAGGCAGACCAGCCTCACCTCATGGCCATGGCCTCGCCTCCACAAGCAGACCAGCCTCACCTTCTTGTGGCCATGGCCTCGCCTCCACAGGCAGACCAGCCTCACCTCATGGCCATGGCCTCGCCTCCACAGGCAGACCAGCCTCGTCTCCTTGTGGCCATGGCCTCGCCTCCACAGGCAGACCAGCCTCACCTCATGGCCATGGCCTCGCCTCCACAAGCAGACCAGCCTCACCTTCTTGTGGCCATGGCCTCGCCTCCACAGGCAGACCAGCCTCACCTTCTTGTGGCCATGGCCTCACCCCTGCGGGCAGACCAGCCTCACCTCCTCGTGGCTTGGTTTCCGCTTTGCCCATGGCAGGGATGTGACAGGCAGCCGTTGGAGGCTTGTCCCCATTCCCCAGTGAGGCAGGACCTGGGGCAGGGCAGGCAATCAGTTCACGCGTGTGACACAGGCAGGCCAGCAAGTCACGACCAGGCACGGGGCAGTTATTGGCTGCTACCAAAGACTTAGAGCTCAGTGGGCTGACCTGGGCCCCTGGTCACCATCCAGTCAATGCCCCCGGGCCTGCCCCTGGTCACGCCGCGCCAGCCCCTCGCCTGCCCTGCCCACAGGAGGTGTGCTGGCCCCAGTCTCCAGCTGCTCCTCCTCGGGCTCCCTCCCATAGAGACAGCAGAGCTTGGGCGCCAGCCAGCACCTTCCCACGGGCAGGCGCTTTCGTTGCCCCACACACAGTGCCTTTTTTTCCCCCTGTATTTGAATTAGGTTTTAACATTTAAGAGCTGAGGGATTTTGCTTTTAAAAATACCCAGATTTCTTGCCTACTCTTGGAAACGTGGAACAGCTGGCATTGCTGGGAGCCCCTTCCCACACTCCCACACGTCAACCATTGCCCCACAACAGGCAGCAACAGCCACCTGTACAAAGCCGACCTCCGCAGGCGGCCCTGGAAGACACCAGTGAGGCAGTCCTGGGGTCCAGGACACCAGAGGCACAGTCCTGGGGGTGGGATACAACCCTGGGGACGCAAACACTGCTCTGGGGGGGACAGGGCACAACCCTGGGGGGCACAGACACTGCTCTGGGGGTGACAGGGCACAACCCTGGGGGTGGGGCACCTACAGCACTCAGGGGCGGGGGTAGAAGAAGACTCAACTGTCCAGGCAGCTGCATCTACCAGTATGGGCTTGGCTGGCGCGGGGGCCCAAGGACTTGGGCCGTCGTCTAAGCAGGGAGCTGGACTGGAAGCGGAGCAGCCAGGACACGAACCAGCGCTCACAGGGGACACTGATGCAGCTCTGTCAGCATGGCCGAGCCCCAGGCATCTGGACGCTGGGCTCAGTGGGTGTGGGCTAGCACAGTTCTCCAAAGGGGCTCGGCTCCCGGAACCCACGCCGCCTGCGAGGGTGAACGCACTTGAGAGCCAGGGACCGAGCGACCAGAGGCTCCAGTGGCGCCGCTGCCCGCACCAGGCGAGTGGCCGGTGGCCGGTGCGGGGCAGAGGCGGAGCGCGCAGTGCTCGCCGCCGCCGCCAGGGGCAGCAGCGTCCCGCGCCTCCCGGCCCCGCCCCGCGCTTAGGGTCCGCCCCCGTCCTGGCTCCGCCCCGCGCCCAGGCTCCGCCCCCATTCTGGATCCAACCCTGTGCCGTGTCCCCAGCCCCGCCCTCAGCCCAGGCTCCGCCCCCCCCGCTCCGCCCCTAGGCTCCGCCCGCCCCCTTATCTCGTGCCCTCTCCCCCAGCCGCACCAGACCCCGTGTCTTGGTTCTGCCCTCTCCCCGCTCCTAGACTCCGCCCCGTCCTGAGCCCAGCCTCCGCCCCGCCCTAGGCTCCGCCCATCTCCGCGCCCAGGCTCCGCCCAGCCCCGCCCCTAGACTCCACCGCCCTGAGCCCAGCCTCCAATCTCTCCTTGCACCAAGGCTCCGTCTCCACCCCGCCCCTCCCGCCCTAGGCTCCGCCCATCTCCGCGTCCAGGCTCCGCCCAGCCCCGCCCCTAGACTCCGCCGCCCTGAGCCCAGCCTCCGCTCTCTCCTTGCACCAAGGCTCCGCCTCCACCCCGCCCCTCCCGCCCTAGGCTCCGCCCCGCCCTGAGCCAAGGCTCCGCCCATCTCCGCGCCCAGGCTCCGCCTCCACCCCGCCCTCCCGCCCTAGCCCCGCCCCTCCCCTCCCCCTGCGCCCGCTCCCCCAGCCCCGCCAGACCCCGCGCCGCCCGCGCCCCGCTCGGCTCCCGAGGCTCCCGAGGCTCCCGAGGCTCCGCGGCCCCGGCGTCCGCCCCGCTGCCCCCTCCCCGGGGGCCATGGGGGCGCCCCCGGGCTACCGGCCCTCGGCCTGGGTGCATCTGCTGCACCAGCTGCCCCGCGCCGACTTCCAGCTCCGCCCGGTGCCCAGCGGCTTCGCGCCCCAGGAGCAGGGGTACCAGCAGGTGCGACGGGGGCCTGGGGCCGGTCTGACCCACGGCTGAGCCAGACGCCCAGCCTGGACTCTGGGGTCTCCGAGGGGAAGGGCGTGTAGGGCACCCACACCTGAGGGGTTGCCTCTGGGACGGGCGCAGGGAGACTAGGCCCTAGGACCTTTAAGTGGGGGGCTTGCTGGAGACTTGGACCCCCGACTCCCTAAGTAAAGGGCTCTCCTGGGGAGAGGACTGCCTGGGAAGGCAGCCTGAGGGCAGGTCTTCTGGGTGTCACAGGAGAGGACCCCGCCCCCGTGGGATCGGAGCGGGTGGACGTGCCCCAGTTAGGGTGGGACCCGGGTCGGGGCTCAGAGAAGGGCGGGGGGCGCCCCGGTTCAGGAAGGGGGGAGGGGGATTAGGATCAGGCGGGCAAGGCGCTGGCAGCCTGTCCCGGGAAGGAGGGGCTGCCAGGGGGCTGCGGGAGGGAGGGCAGGGGGAGAAGTTGGGCAAGGAAAGGCCCTGGGAGTGGGGGGCTCGGTCCTGAGGGTGGGGCTGCGGTGGGAGCCCCGCGGCCCCCAGGGGAAGGGGACCCAGCCTGGGGCAGCCGACCCAGTTTAATTCAAATCCTTGACTTTGACATTAATGAGGAGAAACGCTTGGCCAGAGCAGGTGTGTGTGTGTATTGGGGCGCGGGCCCTCTGGCCCCTCCCCTGTGTCCTGTACTGTCCAGAGAAAGGGGGCTGGGGCTTGGAAGAGCTGGGAGGGATTGGGGGTCCCCGCCGGGGGCGGGGGCTGGGCGCGTGCTGCATCCAGAGCTATTTGGGTCACGGCTGTAGCCCAGCCCTGAGCTCTCCCGCAGCCTCCATCCGCCCCTTCTCCCCGCCGCGCGGGCATGGCCATCCCCTCGCCCACAGCCTCGGTTACACAACCGCAGCCACCGTGGCCACCTCCCCGCCGGCTCCAGGCCGCCCAGGGGTCCCGTGGCTCCCCACGGCCGCAGTCAGGGTCAGTGCAGGGGACACGCGCAGCCACAGTCGCGAGCCCCAAGCACATTCCTGCCACCTGGGGCTCAGGTGCTCAGTCACACACAGCACGCATGAATACCCACACACGCGCCACCAGACTGGTGGTGAGGTGCGAGGGGCCTGAGGTGCCCTCATACAGGTGTGCCCATGACACCCCGTCTCCACTCATGGCAGAAACACAGTGCACACACGTGTCTCACACACAGGTGTGAGGACAGAGGGGAGCTTCCAAGCCAGGCATTGCTCTGTACGCTGTGTGGCTCAGGGGGAACTCTGGCCCCCTTGGGGCCCTCGGGGTGTTGGGGGCTTGCACAGGTTGGTGCCAAGGTCCCGCAAGGCAGAGGGCCCCATACACTCCCCACCAACCTCCCGAGCTCACGCCAGCACCGTGTACCTCTGCCACCCTCTCCGCTCTGACTGGCCCCTGGGGTCTCTGTCACACTGCCGTCTAGTCATCGCCCCTCTTTCCATGCCGTGTCTCTGCCTGTGTCCGTCTCTCTCTGTGCCCCATCCTCACAACCCCCATCTCTGAGTCTTGCACACACACACACACAGCCCCAGGCCTGGGTGACAGGCTCACGCACCGAGGAGGAGGGGTGGGAAGGTGCCTCCCCCACTTTGCACACAGCACCAGGAGTAGTTCCCCAATCCAGGGTCCCACAGAGTCCTGGGCTTGGGGGCGCAGTAGGTCTTGGGAGGAGGCAAGCCAGGCCCAGCAGTAGGAGGCCCTGCTGAAGGTCACGCAGCCTGTGGAGGTTAGAGCAAGGCTGAGCACCCCCAAACGGGGGCTCCCCTCAATCCCTTGGCACTAAATCCGGAGCCCCAGCTGCCAGCTTGCAGGAGGCTGGCCCCCTTCTGGCTAGCAGTGCCTCCACTGTGCCATCCCTGATCCGGCCCCCCAGGCCCTGCAGCGAGGGGGAGCCCCAAGTCCAGGACATGCCTGATGTGGCCCCTGGCCCACCCCCCTCCCTAGGCCCTGTTGCTGGTGGCGGCCTTAGCAGGTCTGGGCCTGGGCCTAAGCCTCATCTTCATCGCTGTCTACCTCATCCGCTTCTGCTGCTGCCGACCCCCCGAGCCCCCAGGGACCAAGAGCCCCCAGTCCGGGGGAGGCTGCGTGACCTGGAGCTGCATTGCTGCCCTTCTCGTCGGCTGGTAATGGGGCCCCGGGGTGGGTGGGAAGCGGAGGCAGCACCCCCCCACCCAGAAGCCCCGAGCATCCAGGGGCGGGGTGGTGAGCAGGCCAGCAGACAGCGACTGGGTCCCATCCCAGCCTCTTAGCAGGAAAAACTGTCCCCATTGGGTGGATGGGTCGACTGAGGCTCCAGGGGCAGGCGTGGCTCTGTGAGGGCTCAGGGTGGGGGTGGAGGGTGCGTGATAGGCAGCTCTGGAGGCCCAGGTGGTACATCTGTGAAATGGGCCTTCCTGTGCGCCTGTCTCCCACCAGCAAGGGCAGTGCCTGCCTTACACCTGACGTCTTACTGTGGCCCCTCATGGTGCCCTTGCCTCACTCCCCCACGCGTTCAGCCAGCAGCAGTTGATTAGCCACCCCTGGTCAGGGCACAGGCCAGTTGCCCAGGCCGAGCTGAACAAGCTCAACTTCCTTCTGGCATCAAGGGTCCTGTCCAGTTCTGACAGGAAGAGAGGGGAGAGGAGGTGGAGTGGAGGCTTGGGCCCCTCAGGGAGTGGGGGGGCTGCTTCTGGGACCCCCACCCCAGGCCCCTCACTGGCAGCAGCACCTTTGGGGTCTTGGACAGCTGCCCCACCTGGCATTGCTGGATCCCACAGGCAGCTAGCTGGGAGTGGCCAGCAGCACTCCCTGCGGCCCCCCACTTGTTTGGGGGTGGCTGGGGGCTGGGCTCCTTGTATCCAAGCCAACCAAAGCTGTGGTGGACGGGGGCCGGAGGTGGGGGCGGAGGCAGACAAAGGCCCCAGTCCCCAGAGCCCTGGGACAAGGGGAGCTTTGTGGGACTTTGAACAATGGGGTGGGGGCACCAGGCGCCCGACCCAAGGGCTGGGCTGGGGGCCCGCGAGGCTGGAGGCTGGGAACCGTGTCCAGCTCTCGCCCCTCCACTGTGGGGGCACAGACGGGGCGTGGGGGGAGCTTGGGCCCTACAATGGAGCTCTGTGTGTTGGCTGGGCGCCCCCTCCACCCCCAGCCTTTGGGCCACCCTCCCTCCCACATTCCCTGCTGGCTGGCTGAAACCAGGCTGGGCGCTCCATGCACGGGGTGCCCAGGAGACATGGTGGCTGCACTCCGAGGAACCCTAGGGAGGTGGGGCGGGGAGCACCTGACCCCAAGATTCCAGAGCAGGGGACACTGGGCACTGGAGGCTCAGCCAATGGTGGGGCTTATGGGGGCAGAGAGCGGCTGCAGGAGAGCAGGGCCTTCCCTCCCAGGGCTGGGCAGGACAGGCCCCCACTACAGGGAGGCGCGAGTTAAATCGGGGGCTCTCTACCCCCCACCCCGCCTACCATTAGCATCACAATGACGTCCCCGCAGCCGGGGGAGTGAGGCCTTCCCTGTTGCCTTGGTAACGGGTGGGGGGGCCAGGCTGCAGCCAGCCGAGATTTTCCCATGACAGACTAGACCGATGGGGGGGTGGGCTGGAGCCTGGTCTAGGAGGGGAAGGGAGGAGGTGGAGTGGAGGAGTGGGGACCCCAGGGTCCCAGGACCTGCTGATTTCCCCCTCCCCCCTGCTCCTCTCAGCATCGGGATTGGCATCGGTTTCTATGGCAACAGTGAAACCAGCGATGGGGTGTCCCAACTCAGCTCTGCACTGCTGCATGCCAACCACACACTCAGCGCCATCGACCACCTGGTGAGGGAACCACAGCCTAAGCAAAGCTGAGGGGAGCTCTGCTCAGGGACCAAGGGGTGCAACTCAAAGCCAGGCGCCCCCACCCACTGAGACTGCGGGTCTGGACTGCTGGCTCACTCCTGCACTCACTGCCTCCCCTGGCACTACAGGTCCAGCAGAGACCACACTAGGACCCATCCCTGCCCTGGGGGTCAGCTCCAGCCCCAAGACCCAGGCTCCAGCCGCAAGACCCAGGCTCCAGCCCCAAGACCCAGGCTCCAGCCCCAAGCCTCAGGGCCCTGGCTCCAGCCCCTAGGCCTGACCTCCAGGCCTGACCATGAGGGCACTGGGACCTAGCACCTCCAGCTGCAGTTTCTGGGCCTTGGGACCCCAACACAGGGGTTAAAATACAAGACCTGACTTGACACCCCAACTCAGGGGGTAATACAAGACCCCAGCTCTGGAGCTGGCCTGTACATACATACAGTTTCAAGCCACTGATCACCCCTACGGCGGGACCCCAAAACTCAGACCCCAGCTCCCTCTCCCTCCACCTGGGGCTCCTTCGAGGATGTCCCCGCACAGCTGAGACCCTGCACTTCCCACCAGGCATCAGAGACGGTGGAGAGGCTAGACCAGGCGGTGAGGACGGAGCTGACCACACTGGAGGAGGTGCTTGCCCAGCGCACGGAGCTGGTGGCTGCTGCCCGGGGTGCCCGGCGGCAGGCCGAGGCGGTGGCCCTGCAGCTGCAGGGGCTGGCCTTCTGGCAGGGCGTGCCCCTGAGCCCCCTGCAGGTGGCTGAGGAGGTGGCCTTCGTGGAGGAGTACAGGTGAGGGTCTCCTCGCACTGGGCACCGCCGTTGTCAGCCAGGGGCTGGGCTGACAGTGTGTGGGAGACGCAGTCCCACTTGGCAGCTGTGATGGGGGCACTGGGGGGACTGCACTCCCACGTGGCTCCCTGGGCCCTCTCTCTGCACTCCACCCCCTCACTCACTCACGCCTGCCTTCATCCTGCCAACATTTACTTGGCACCTGCTGGCATGTGTGCGTGCTCACCCTCTGCCGCGGCCCCTCCCATCCCTGTGAAATGGGAATCACGCTAGGCAGTGGCGAGTGCCACGGGCGGGGACACAGCCACCAGCAAGAGCCCACGGGACTTGTCCCGCAGCGAGTGTGGGACCAGGAGGGAAACAGGTCAACCTGGCTGTGCCACCTGGCAGGAAAGGTGAGCATGGCTTCAGGGAAGGCCGAGCAGGACGGCCCGGTCCTGGCAGGGACAAGCCGAGTGAGTGGCCACCCGGGGGAGCCACCTTGCCCGGCAGCCGGCAAGCGGGGCGGTGTCCTCATTGCAGGCTGGCTTTCGCTCTCGCAGCCCCCTGGGGACCCTGCCTATGGCACACTGAGGCCTGGAGACTCCGAAGAGGCTGACACACTGTGTATGTGTGTTGGTGAGGGACAGACAAGAGAGGAGGAAGCAGGGCCAGGCTGGGCTGTGCTACAGCTGTGCCCAGGGCTGCAGGACTCCCGCCCACGCTGTGCCTTCTCTCAAGGCCAGCAGGGGCAGCTGAGGAGGGTGTCGGGGTGGGACAGATCCCCAGGAAGTGTCTTTGAGAAGCAAGTAGGTCCCACGTTCCAGGAGATGCTGGACACACGGTCAGTCATGTGTGGGCCATGTGGGGACCTCATGGACATTTTCTTCCTTAATCATGGGGAAGTTTGCAGTTATATCTGGTTCTCTTTTTAAAACAGATTTTCCAATTTTAATTTATTTGAAAGTGAGATAGATGATTTTCCATCTCTTGCTTCGCTTCGCAAAGGACCACAATGGCTGGAGCTGAGCTGATCTGAAACCAGGAGTCAGGAGCATCTGGGTCTCCCACACAGATGCAGGATTCCAAGGCTTTGGGCTGTCCGCCGCTGCTTTCCCAGGCCACAGGCAGGGAGCTGGATGGGAAGTGGAGCAGCCGGGACTTGAACCAGCGTCCTTAGGGGATGCTGGCATTTGCGGGTGGAGGATTAGTGTGGCCCCCAATCACACCTGTTTCAAGTCACACTGTAAACCGGAGTGAAGCTGCTGCTCAAGTGCACCATGGGCTGTTACCTCCTGGGGTCATTCCACGGGCTGGCGAGGAGCAGTGCCTGGGACGATTCACGGCCGCTAGCTGGGGGGCAGGCGGGAGCTCCTGCCTCCTGACACCCCAGACGTGCGGGGAAGTCCTGGCTGGTGCCACCTGGAGGGGACTGGGGAGGCCTGGCTGAGAGGCCAGGCACCGTCCCTGCTCACAGCTTGCGTGGAGTCTGTTGGGTACAGTCCAACACACTCAGCCACAACTCAGCGTGGCACGGCTGGCGTCCTGGGAGCCACGCCCCTGCCCCAGGCTGCGTGGCCGCTGCTTCAGGGATGCCCCGTGACCCCTGCAGGTGGCTGGCCTACGTCCTCCTGCTGCTGCTGGAGCTCCTGGTCTGCCTGTTCACGCTGCTGGGCCTGGCGAAGCAGAGCAAGTGGCTGGTGGTCGTGTGAGTGGGCAACCAAGGGCACGGGTGGGATGGTGCCTTCCAAGCCATGCCCAGCTCCTCCCTGCCATAGGGTCTCACCATGGACCCTCCCAGCCTGTCTTAGACCAGCCCCGAGCAGAGTGAGGCTCCTGGGGCTCCGTGCCTGCCGTGGCCTCTCCTGACACTGTCAGCCTGCGGTCAGACCAGACCACCTGCCGCTGAGAGAGGCCTGCCCATCTTACAGCCCGGGAGATGGAGCCTGTGGTCCCCAGCCAGCCTTCCAGGGAAGGCAGCTGCAGGTTCATGGCCCGCCACCCCCCACCCCGTGGGCCAGATGTTGTCTGACGTCAGCAGCACCAGCCTGTCCCCCTCCCCCCCGTTTCTGGCCCCTAATTCTGATCCTGGGCTTCAGGGGTTGCTGGGCTGGGGTGAGGGGGGATTAAGGTCCCCGGGCCTTCCCGCTCCCCAGGATGACGGTGATGAGTTTCCTGGTGTTGGTGCTGAGCTGGGCCTCCATGGGCCTGGAGGCGGCCACGGCTGTGGTGAGTGCAGAGTGGTCCTTGGGGTCTGAGAGGAAGGCTGTAGGGCTGGGGGCCGGAGCCCAGGGTGTGAGGGAGGAGGGGCTGGACCCCGGGTGTGAGGGAGGAGGGGCTGGGCTGGACCCCTGGGTGTGAGGGAGGAGGGGCTGGGCTGGACCCCGGGTCTGAGGGAGGAGGGGCTGGACCTCTGGTCTGCGGGAGGAGGGCTGGGAGACTAGCTGGCATGGCGTCTGAGCCCCACCCTGCCCTTGCTCAGGGCCTCAGCGACTTCTGCTCCAATCCTGATACTTATGTTCTGAACCTGACCCAGGAGGAGACTGGGCTGAGCTCAGGTGCCTGGACCTGTGTTGGGGTGGGGGAGGTGAGCGGGTTAGGGTTAGGGTGGTGGAGAGGGTGGGCCTGGGGGGGAGCGAGGACAGCCCTACTTACTGCCTCGCCTGCTGTCCCCCCCACTTCAGACATCCTCAACTACTATTTCCTCTGCAACCAGGCGGTGTCCAACCCCTTCCAGCAGGTCCGGGCTGGGCCGGGGGAAGCGGGTGGGGGTGGGCCGGGCGTGGGACCGCTGAGCAGCGACCACCCGGTTGTCCCTGTCCTATCTTTCCACAGAGGCTGACTCTGTCCCAGCGAGCTCTGGCCAACATTCACTCGCAGCTACAGGGCCTGGAGCGTGAAGCTGTGCCTCAGTTTCCCTCCGCACAGGTCCGTGTGGGGGTTGGGATAGGGCGGAGCCTGGGACGGGGTGCGCCCAGGGCTGTGGGCGGGCGCTGCCATAAGGAACAGCCCCCTGTGCTCCCACTGCAGAAGCCTCTGCTGTCCCTGGAGGAGACACTGAATGTGACGGAAGGAGACTTCCACCAGCTGGTGGCGCTGCTGCACTGCCGCGGGCTGCACAAGGTGACCCCTGCCTGTCCCCTCCCCGGGGACCCTCTGCATCCACAGAACCCCACTTCTCGGTCCTCCCCCGCCCCTGAGAAGACCCACCCATCCCTGTTTATCACTTAGTGCCCGCCTGCAAGACACCTGTTACGCCTAGAGTCCTTCCCTCGCAGGGCAGGTGGGCGGGAAGCCTGTGGTGGGCTGTGGGCTGTGGGCTGCTCAGTCGCAGGCAGGGAGCGTGTCAGAGTCGAGGCTTCTTGCCTGTTGGGCGCCAGAACAACCTCTTAGTGGTGGCTGTGTGGGCTGGAAAGCTCACTGCTAGGGCGGGTCTGCACCCATAGCCCCTCCCACCCCTGCCCTGAGGGTGCCTGTCCCAATCGGAGAGCTAACACAAGGCGCCGAGTCCTGGTCCGGGTGCCACTCTCTTCACGACCCCCTTCTGCTCCAGGAGTTACCACCCACCCTCCTGGGGCCTGGCCGCAGGACAGACTGGCCTGTCCCCCTGTCCCCCTGCCCCCCACGGGCACCCTTACCTCCCTCTCTGCCCCTGCCTGAACTACACGCTCCCTAGTGGGCCAGTGTCAGAGCCACAGATGGCTGCAGGCACCCCCTGAAGGGCTCACAGGGTCCCAGGACTCGCCGTGTGAGCTGGGGCAAATGGGTCAGAACCTCTGCTGCACCCAGCTGGGCTCCAGGACCAAGGACCCGGGGTGGAGCAGGACTGACTGTGGGACTCTGGGCTCTGGCTGTTTTCCACCCCCGTGGAGGGCTGGAGCATTGGGGAATTTGGCCTTGGCCTTGCGGGCTGCTTGCCCAGTGCCTCAGCTGCATCGGCCAGTCCTGTCCTGGCCGGGTGTGCAGATCAGCTCCTCCCCTCCTGGGCCTCCCTAAGTGGCCCTTACCGGGAAGCCCGGCTGGACTCTGGCCCTGCTGCCTGCCCGGGCCTCTCCTCCCCGCCACACCCACAGCTCCATGCTGCTTTTACCTTGAACCCTGAAGAGGTTCCCTTTGATCCACGAGGGCCTGCGTGGCCAGCCCCGGCCTCCTCAGGGGCACCTCCACCACCCTGGGGCCTGGTTGCTTCCACAGGGCACATCTCTGCCCACCTTGCTGATCTGCCTGGTCACCAGAGCTGCCCTGTGGGGCCAGCTGAACGGCTGCGGTGCTGGGGGAGGAGGCTGGTGGGCTGCACCCATGAGCAGGGCCTGCTGGGTGATGGCCACAGCAGCCAGCGTTGGGGGACAGGGTGCCCCATGTGAGCATGATACAGGAAGGCAATGCCCTGCTCAAGCCTGCCTGTGCTTGGTGGGGTGCGGACTGTCCTGCTGTGGTTCTGATGGGACTGAAGGGGTGCAGTGAAATGGGGGTGGCCTGCAGCCCTACTGTGCACTGATGCCCTGCCCTGCCCCAGGACTATGGCGCCGCCCTGCGGGGCCTGTGTGAGGATGCCCTGGAGGGCCTGCTCTTCCTGCTGCTGTGCTCCCTCCTGTCCGCTGGGGCCCTGGCCACCGCCCTGTGCAGCCTGCCCCGCGCCTGGGCCCTCTTCCCGCCCAGGTCAGGAGGGGAGAGAGGGCAGACTTCCGGGGGAGGGGACAGGCGGGCAGCACCAGGGCACCACTGCTGGGGGGGAGGCAGCTTCCTGATGGGTGCCCCATCCTGCTTCTCTGCCACTCCCCGCATCGCACCCCAGTGATGGCTACGATGACACGGACGACGATGACCCCTTCAACCCTCAGGTACCAGGCCTGGGCCTCTGGAGGAGTTGGAGCTGGGTGTGAGGGAGGAGGGGCTGGACCCCTGGGTGTGAGGGAGGAGTGGCTGGACCCCTGGGTGTGAGGGAGGAGGGGCTGGACCCCTGGGTGTGAGGGAGGAGGGGCTGGACCCCTGGGTGTGAGGGAGGAGTGGCTGGACCCCTGGGTGTGAGGGAGGAGGGGCTGGACCCCTGGGTGTGAGGGAGGAGGGGCTGGACCCCTGGGTGTGAGGGAGGAGTGGCTGGACCCCTGGGTGTGAGGGAGGAGGGGCTGGACCCCTGGGTGTGAGGGAGGAGGGGCTGGGCTGGACCCCTGGGTGTGAGGGAGGAGGGGCTGGACCCCTGGGTGTGAGGGAGGAGGGGCTGGACCCCTGGGTGTGAGGGAGGAGGGGCTGGACCCCTGGATGTGAGGGAGGAGGGGCTGGACCCCTGGGTGTGAGGGAGGAGGGGCTGGGCTGGACCCCTGGGTGTGAGGGAGGAAGGGCTGGGCTGGACCCCTGGTCTGAGGGAGGAGGGGCTGGACCCCTGGGTGTGAGGGAGGAGGGACTGGGCTGGACCCCTGGGTGTGAGGGAGGAAGGCTGGGCTGGACCCCTGGGTGTGAGGGAGGAAGGCTGGGCTGGACCCCTGGGTGTGAGGGAGGAAGGCTGGGCTGGACCCCTGGGTGTGAGGGAGGAAGGCTGGGCTGGACCCCTGGGTGTGAGGGAGGAGGGGCTGGGCTGGACCCCTGGTCTGAGGGAGGAGGGGCTGGACCCCTGGGTGTGAGGGAGGAGGGGCTGGACCCCTGGGTGTGAGGGAGGAGGGGCTGGGCCCCTGGGTGTGAGGGAGGAGGGGCTGGGCTGGACCCCTGGGTGTGAGGGAGGAGGGGCTGGGCTGGACCCCTGGGTGTGAGGGAGGAGGGGCTGGGCTGGACCCCTGGGTCTGAGGGAGGAGGGGCTGGACCCTCTGTGGGTGAGCCCGGGCAGCCACTCAAGCCACGTCTCCGGGCAGGAGTCCAAGCGCTTTGTGCAGTGGCAGTCGTCTATCTGAGCCCCTCCTCCCCGCCTGCCTGGAGCCCGCCTCCCCTCTCCGGTGAGCTCGCAGGTGACAGCCCTGGGCCCACAGTGCCCCGACCCCCAGTCCCCTAGTCCGGGTGGATGTGCTGACTCATCAGTGACCTGCACCCAGCGTCAGACCCGCCTCTGCCTCTCTCAGCAGCTCCCTCCCTGGCTGCCGGAGGAGACCCCACTAACCTGATGCTCCTGGCAATGGACACCCCGAGCCGGGCTGCCTCCCACCTGATCCTGCACCCCCCATCCGTCCTTAGCCTGGGGGTCACCCATGGGCCAAGCCAAGGACCAGGGCTAGGGGATAGGAATCCCCCTGGCCCTGCCATGCCCCACTGGGCCTGGGACCCCGGACTGGAACTTGTGGCACTAACTTGCAAGGGTTCACTTGAAATAAATGGGAAGACTTCTATTTTACCAGCAGTGAGTCCTTCTGACGCCGCCGGCTGTCCACGCCAGGTGCTGTGTTCCCCAGCATGTTTAAAAATACCTTTCTTTGCTGTTTCTACCAGCGATAGGCGTGTCCCAGCACAGCAGGCAGACACCCCCGCAGCAAGAGAGGGCCCAGAAATAGACTTGGGGAGTGCAGGTGGCAGGCAGCACGGCCAGGCAGGAAGCGGCGCTCCCGGCAGCCGGCAGCCAAAGGATTCTAAACACAAGAGTGGGAGCTCTAACTGTCCCCGAGTCGGGGTAATTCATGGTGCGAGTGGATGGTGCCGTCTGGAGGGCAAGGCCAAGAAGCCCCTGCCAGGGCAGGGAGGCGACCTCCGTGACAACTGCGGGAATGCACAAGCCACATGCACAGGCAGAAACCAGTCCTGTTGGGAACGCTCACGGAAACGGATGGAACGACCAGTTTATTTGGTACCAAATTGGAAATCCACACTCAGCCATCTGCAGCTGTCAGAGCACCACGCTGCCGGAGCCAGGAGGGCCACCCTGCTGCACAGCCCCCTGCACCCCACCACGAGCCCTCCACGGTGCAGCAGCACGCACACACACACCCCTAATCCTCCATGGCACGGCAGGCCTCTTGGGAGAGGCTGGGATTGCCGGGAGAGACCTGTACAGCAGAGGGTACCAGGGCGGGAGGTGGGCAAGAGGGCAGCTTGGCCCAGCTCTGTAGGAGCCTCAGGGTCCCCAGGCCTGGCCTTGAAGGAGGTGGGCAGGATCTTGGGTGCCATAGCTGTCACACGTGGGTCACGAGTGCACGACATCGGCATGCAGGAGGCGCTGTGGATGCTAGCGCCCCCAGACTCCGTGGGCAGTCCCTCCGAGGCTTCGTGGCCACTGGGCACCCTGTGTGCTGTCCACATTCCTGCCCATCTCCCCACAGACATGCCCAGACATGTGTGGGCGTCAGGGAGACACCTCAGGCCCAAAACGCATTGGTCCCCAGAGGCTCTGGAAGCAGGCATACCCGGCTGCCCAGTCTTGTGGGCACAGCTCAGATGCATTTGTCATGGGATTGCGGGCTGCCCTCCCTGCTGAAGCCCCTGGAGTTACTGCGTGTCCCTGCTGTCCTCAGCCTGGAGGCCTGCCATCCTGGACAGGCCACACCGCTGGGCGCCCTGGACCTGGGTTTTACTGTGACTTCTACTTCCCATTAAGATGGAGTTTGGGGGCTGGGCTGGCTCCCCTTAACCCAGGCAGCTGGGAGATGAGCCAAACTTGGTGGGCCCTGAACTTGGCTCTGCCCCCAACCCTGGGAGCTGCTGGCCATGGGCAGGGCCAGGAGGATGGGGGGCCCTGGGAGCTCAGCAGGGGTGGGCACAGGGTGAGGAATGAGGCCAAGGCCAGGCGCCCAGGGCAAGACGCCCACACACCTCCCCAACACTGTTGCCTGAGCCCTGTCCAGCTCCTTCACCCCCTGGGAGGGGGTGCAGGGAGCAGGCACCACAGGGAGTGGCGCCCCATGGGCAGGGCACCTTCCTCTTGGCCTTGGAGGCCCCAGAAGAGCCCGCTGGAGGGACTGAGGGAGCACTGCCTGCCCTGTCCCCTGAGGGCCTAGCAGCAAGCCTGGGCCCCTGGCAGAGCTGCAGAGCTCGGGAGGGTCTGACAGGAGGAGACCTGAATCGGCCATGCCCGAGGCTGCCCATCCACTGCCTTTGTTAGGAGCACATAGCCAGGCACCATGTGAGGGCCCAGGGGCGTCAGCTGGGGTACCCACCCTTCTGTAGGAAGTCATTCTGGAACCTTATCCAGTCCCAGGTGGCGAGAAGCCAGGGTCCAGGACACCTTAGCCCCCAGCCAGCGCCCCTGCGTGGGGAGTCTGCACACCCAGCCTTCCACACAGCTGGTGTCTGCCGCAGATCCACTTGCTGGTCCTCCAGGGTGAAGGGAGATGTAAGCTTTCTGGAGACCCCACAGGATAGGACTCTGCCCCTGTGACCCCCCCAAAGGGATGCCCCTCCTGATGCCATCACAGAGAGGCACCCACAACATGGCTGTCCCTTGCCCTCACAGGCAGGAGACACAGAGACAGGGAGAGGGCCGGGGTCTGGCCTGATGGGGCCACGATGCCCTTTCACCCCAGGAGGTGCCAGCCAGGCCTGGCACAGTGTGAACCTTGAATCCAACACTACTCAGGGAAACAAAGAGCCTGTTTTAGTTAAAACAAACAAACAAACAAAGGCCAGGGCAGAAAACAGAAGGGAAAAGCAGCAAAAGAAGAAAGATGGGAGTGAGAACAGAAACCAAACAGCAGAAGGACAGGTTTGTAAGCACAGGCACAGCCCAACAGAAGCACGGTTACAGTATCCGGTTCACCTGTAGGGGAGCTGCAAGGGAGCTGGGCCAGGGAGCAGAGGAGGGAGAGCGAGGGATGGAGAAGGACAGAGAGGAAGGGAGGAAGAGGAGGAGGAAGGGAGGAGGAGCCCGAGGGAGACAGGGACAAGCAGCGGAGCCGCACACCGTCAGGGAAGCGCCCGCACAGCCATGCTCTCTCCAGGACAGAATCGGTCTAGTCTCCCTAAGGGATCCGCCAACTTTCCACTGACATATTAAAAACAAAAAGTGAGAACTCACACGATACTTAGAGATGCGTTCCTACGCTTGCTTCATCTTTGTTTTACTCTGCTAGAATACACAGAATGCTGCCGGGTGAGGGGAAAGAAACAAAACAAAGCGACAACATAAAAATACTGTCATAAACAGCGGCTTCCAAGGACACAGACGGCTGAGCTAGTGAAAAACAAATAAATACACGCACACCGGATCCAACCGGATGCCGCAGGACGCTCACCCCCAGGATGGGCTTCAGGTGGGCTCCGGGAGGACACCCCGCCGCCCCCCGAGCCGCGGCCGGCCGTCTCCGTCGCCCCGTCCCCACCCCGTCCACCCCGTCCACCCCGTCCACCCCGTCCACCCCGTCCCCACCCCGTCCACCCCGTCCCCACCCCGTCCATCCCAACCTCAGCTCGGCCTCCGTCGCCCGCCAATCCACCCCGTCCACGCCGTCCACCCCGTCCCCAGCCCGTCAACCCCAACCCCAGCTCGGCCTCTGTCGCCCGCCCGTCCACCCCTGTCCACCCCTGTCCCCAGCTAGGCCGCCATCACGGCCCCCGCACTTGTCCCCGCGGGGCCACCGTCGCCGACCTGTCTTCCGGTTTGTCTGCCGGCGCCTCTTGCGTCACCGCGTGGGCGGGCCCAAGCCCGTCTGGCGGCTCCCATTGGCCGTGCGTGGGGGGCGGGGACAGGCCTCCGTGTGACGTCAGGACGCGGCGGTCAAAGCCCGAGGAAGCCCGGAGCGAGCCGGAGAGCCGAACAGGGTGGTGGCCGTGGCGGTTCCGTCTTGGACGGTTCCGACGAGTCCCGGGAGTGAAGGCTTGTGGTGGGTACGGGACGCAGTGAGCGGGCGGGAGGGCGAGGAGCGTTTATCCGTTCGGGGCGACGCGCCGAGGTCTTCGTCCGTCGCAGCAACGGACGTCGAGTGCGAGCGTCGCCAGGGTGTGGCGGGCCGGCGCAGCCAGTGCGCCTGCGCGGCGGCGGGCTCGGGCGCGTGCGCTCAGCTAGTGCGCCTGCGCGACGGTGGCTCGGGCACGCGCGTGCTGCCAGTGCGCCTGCGCGGCGGGGGGGGGGGCGGTGCGCGCTCGCGGCCTGCTCCCCGAGCCTGGAATGGTGCGGGCGCTCATTGAGCTCGCGGTTCTAGGGTGGGGACTTGTTGTCCCGGGCGACGGGCGGCCCGAGTGCGCAGGGACGGCCAGGTGAGCCTCGGGCGGCCGGCCCTGCCCAGCGCCCCTCCGCCCGCGTCCCCGTAGGGTCTCCTTCCCCGGCCCGACTGCCCTTTGAACCCACCCCATGGGAGCGCAGGCACTCGGCGGTGCCTCCGGAACACCCTTCCCTGTTCTGCACCCCACTGCTGATTTACTTATCTTGTTTTTAAACAAACACTAATTTCTGTTCTGAGAGGAAGAGTTTCAAATAGATCCCTAAGTGGCCGCAGCCAGGAGCTCCCCCCGGGATCTCCCACGCGGGTGCAGGTCCCAAGGCTTTGGGCCGTCCTCGTCTGCTTTCCCAGGTCACAGGCGGGGAGCTGGATGGGAAGCAAGGGCAGTCGGAGATATGAACCGGCGCCCACTTGTGATCCCAGCGCCTGCAAGAGCAGGATTAACCAGTTGAACCGTCACAGCTTTTCTCTTGGCCTCACTCTTAATGAATCCCCAAAACTGTTTCTCCTGGGCCTTGCTAGGCAACCCCAGAACCTTGTCTCATTAACCCCAACTTCCCAGGCCTGCCTTGCCTCCCTTAGGGGACTCTGGGGGTCTGCCTCCGTGGGCTCCCTTGGGGTGCCTTCGTCTACCTCCTGCCTCTGGGAGTGGGGTGACGTGTGAAGATGTTCCACTCTGGGATCAGCCCTGCACCCCCAGAGAGCTGCCCTCTGCCGTCCCTTCTGCGCTTCCTGTCCCCTGCCCCCTTCCTCCACCCTCTCTGGGGTCCCCCTCGCCCTCCCATCCCTCCCTGTCCGCCAGTGGAAGTCCTCCCGGCCAGGCCTGGTGGCTGGCAACCTCCCTGTGTCCTGAGTCTGTGCCTGGGTTCTCCTGCAGCGTAGCAGGCCTCTGATTGCTGGGGTCTCCCTGACTCCCTGTTTTCTCACAGACAGGAAGAAAGCAGTCTGGCTCCCGAGATCCACCCCTCCTGCCCCAAGGTGCAGATGGCGGCCAACGTGGGTGACCAGCGGAGCACGGATTGGTTAGTGGGGCCGGTGGGGAGGGCTCAGTGCTGTCCCTTGGGGTCCTCTGCAGGCTGTGTGTGGAGACGGACTGCCTTGAGGGTGCGCTGGCCCTTGCCACTCCACGGGAGAGGGCTCGCCTTGCAGGCCAGGGCAGCCCAGGCCTCGTGCCCTTCTGCGAGGCCTTGCATTTTCCTGGAGTGGGAGCTGCTGCTGGACAGTCGGGAGCCCCTAAGGCTGGGACGTG